TATAATACAAAAATCAACTATTCACATTTCAACTTTTAACTATTTAAATTTTCAGCTTTTTCCTTTTAAACAAATTTAAAGTGAAACAACACAAAACACTGCAAACCACAACACAATTAAATATAAATTAAAATATGAAAACAAAAAGAACATGCATATTCTCTGTCATATGGACCTGCATGAATAAACTTTCTGAATCCCTTATCATCTGCAACCAAAAATAGTTGTGGATGATTACTATACCTTTCTAATGTGACGTTGTTGTCCCTGACTCTCTTTCTCTCTCTCCGGCTCTGTTCCTGTGGTACTGAGTGTAACTACCGCCCCTCCCCCTCTGCCCAGCGTAAAGCACAAGGCTCGCGTGCGGAGTGAAGCGGAAAAAAGTGCGAGAGAGAGGCTGAGAGAAAAAAACAAACCACGTGACGGCTCGCGATAAGGAGCCGGGTCGCGTCGTTCACGTCAAAGAGCCGGCTCTAAGAGCCATTTCGTTCGCAAACGACCCAAGAAACTCACTAACCCTAACAGCAAAGTGACATGATATAAACTCACATACAGCTGTGTCAGAAAGTGAACCAAGTCCTTTACTTAAAGATAAAAGGGGACTAAAGGCACCAACCTGACATTTCTTCCTCCTAAGTTAAATGAATGGATGGATGGAAGTTAGATGACTAAAACAATAAAAACACAAGTTCCTTGATAAAATTATTAATTGTACTGAGCTTATATCAACAGTTGCAACAGGTTAAGCTACCTGAGACATTGGATTGATTTATTGTTTATATCCACCTGACTGGTTTCAACTCAGATATTCTGCTTTTTCCTTTTGGTGGATGAAAGCAACTCTTTGCTGTTTCTGCTTCCATGCTGATGCCAAGAAGAAGGAGAAACCTTCAAAGAAGTGACGTTCATAGTCTCAATCCACAGTGTGCCAATCATGGTAACACACTGCATGTGGTCATGCAACAATCAATACACTGATCAAAAACTGTGAAATATTTATTTTTGTTTGGAGATGTGTTATATCCGTGCATGCAAGTGTTTGTTATTGAACATTGTCCTGTTCTGTTTTCTACTTTGATGCCCACCTACACCCCACAATACTGTTTTAAAACATGTTGTTTTCAGTGTCTGATCATTGTCATATAAATTAGTTTTACATGAATGTTGCTGTTTCATTTGTGATCTTTTAATGCTTACTGCGGTACACGTCTACATTCGAGACATCGATGCCTATTTATGAGACCGTGTATGCAAACAGTACATGCAGCATGCTGTAGTTTCTTTTTTAATTTGACAGACTGAACTCAGAACGTATCTGCTTTTGACTAAGCAAAAATCTGACCCAGTTTCTACCTGTATCTAATGTTTCATGATTTAACTGAAGTTTGCTAAACTATAATTGTCAGTGTTTCTCCTGCTCTCAGAGGGCAAAGGAATGAAATAGACTATTCAAACTCTGTCATTAGATACACAGTGTGAAATTCATAATTCTCTCAACAAATAAAACTATAATGGCAAACATGAACAGCTCTGCTTATTTCTGAGACAAAACTTTATTCTTCGACTGTTTTAATATTTAGACAGTGCACATTTGTAGGCTGAAACTGTCAAAGAAAGCAAATATATATCCATTTACTTTCTGTTCACCATAACCTCAAAACTATATTCAAAAAATGTCTTTATCCTGTGCTGTGTGTGGAGGCTGTGCTCGATCACCTCAGTCAGTGCTAACTAACATGACTGAGTTATAGTCTCCATGGTTACATCACATTTTACATTATTACATGTTAGCAGTTTCCAAAGATATAGCTCTCTACAGCTGTAACACTTTCACTGTTTGCAAATTATTTCATATGTTTGATAGTTATGAAGACTGGATATGTTGTAAGCTCATGCTAGGCGGTTGCTATGGTGTTTGCTGTTTTTGGGTGGACGGCGCATCCGATTCCTGTTGTTGGCTGTCCACCGTAGGAGGGCTGCGTTCCATTTCAAAGTGCTGACAGTCTGCTGTAACTCTGATTCAAACCCCACTTTCTCCTTTAAGAAAAAGCCTTTTATAGCTGTTGGTGACACACACACTAACACACATATATACTGTCACTTCACCATAACAATGCAACTTTACTAAAACCTTTAGAGTGTCTGATATAAAATAGAAACATGAAGCAACAACAGGTTTAATGATAAAGACCAGGCTCTTTAGTTAATGTTTTACAGTCCTGAATGACTCCTTGGACATTCATATAATTCACCGAAGTGGAGTTTAGAATGCACTTTATATTCAGACTGTGTAATTTTTTACATTGTTACCTTTAATAATGTCATGACTAAGGTTTACTGGCTGGAGGTTTGATGGATCAGGCGGACGATAGAGTCAAAGACGGACTTGAATACAAACAGCCATGATCTCATTTGCAAGAATCCTACTCTGATTTTTGCTTACATTCATATTCTTTTAACCAAATATTGAATACAATTATGATATGGATGTACACTGCCTTTTACTCAGGGATCCCAGGACACATCCCTGCCCCACCATGAGCCTGGGAGCATATGTGGTTATCAAATGAAAGGACTGATATTGAATATGAATATTACATGCAAATTGAATTATATTACAAATTCCTAGATATTTGTTAAATCCAGCAAGAGTAATATCGATTACATATGTCTGAATTGCTAACCCAAGCTTAATAAACATCAGTGTTACATGGGTAACTTTGATTAAAGTTTCAAGTATAAAAGAAAAGCAGCAAAAAAAAAAGCAAAATAAAAAAGAAAGTCTAACATTTTGAGGTCATTTTCTTCCCAACTGACAAGAAAAATGCTTGTCAGACTCTCATAGTGAACGATCACTATTTATGATGACTTAGTAGTAAGGCATGTTAGATTGCGAGTTGTGTACTTGTTTTAATTCAATTCAATTTTATTTATATAGCGCCAAATCACAACAAAAGTCGCCTTAGTCTGTAAAGTTAGAGTCACCATCTCTAATTTATACATGACTAACAGCATTATTAATAGCATATATCCCACAACTTAGACATTCACATTACTCACACTCTCATTACACATACATATAGGATCTTGGGGGTGGGCACGATACACGGAGTCCAAATTACCATCAGGGTGTACACCTCACCCCTGGCGTCGTTGCCCACCTCTCAATTTTAAATACACGTAGACATTGAGGGCTAGCAGGAGGGACTATGCGCTTACCTGCTGCTCTCTGGCAGGTAGCTCCATGCCCTCCTGGGTTTTAATTGCACCTTAGAACACACATGCATCAACACTACAATGAGCGGGTGGAGGGAGGTTTGGAGTCTTCTCTCACCCCCATTCTCTGCGGCCTGCTGGAGCGGGGGGGCTAGGAGGAGGAGTTGGCCGTCCGACTGCGGTCTGGAGTGTGGGGCCTCCCTGCTGCTGCGGAGTCGGGGCGGTCTGCCTCCCCCCACCGCAGGGAAAAGGGTAACACCACCTGGGTCTGGGTGCAGTTCCCCCCTCCAGGGGCAAGGGTACCTAGACCCGGTTCGTAGAGTACGCTTGGGGAGTGTGATCGTGTGTACAGCGTCTCTTTATGTCTGTCTCCACGTTGGTTGAGTGTGGAGTAAGTGCATATGAGAGCATGAGGGTGGGAATGGATGTTTGTGTCTGTGTGTGCCTGTATGTCTGTGTCTATATGTCAGGTTGGGTATCAGACGCCACCTCTCTGGGGACATCTCAGGCCCTCCAAGGTTTGGAGGCCTATCTCCACCCACCACCACTTCCCCTGCCAGTGGCGGACTCCCTCAGGTGTCGGTGCGTTGGTGGTTCTTTGTGTCTGGGGGTGGGCGTCCGGGTACACACCGGCTCACTCCTTGGCGGCCGCTTATCGGGGCCTGGAGCCTGGGGCTCGCTCGGGCCACTTCGGAGGTGGGGTGCCCCCGGCCTCTCGGCCTGGGGCTCGGTCACTCAGGCACAGCTGGCTGCCGGCGGAGCTCACGGGCGCGTCACTGCAACTCCCCCTGGCTTCTGCTCCGCGGCTGCTGAGTGAGCCCTCATCTGGGACTCTCCTCAGCTCTTACTGGGACAGTGGCGCGGCTGCCCCTCTGTTGGTCTTCCTTGGTCTCTTGTGTTCTGGGGGCCTCTGGATGTCTGGAGTTTTGATCTCCTCCATACCTGCTTCATGCCCTGGAGGACGGGGCTGTGGCTCCCCACACTCCCTAGCAGATCGTTACATGGAGAAACCTTTGGAATGCAAGCATGCTGATCCACACAGTATGCACACAGGTATTCACAGACAGCTTTCTTGGCTGCTGCCTCAAAGCACATTGTGCGCTGTCTATCTTGCGTGCTGCACAATATCGTTTATTATTTAGTATCTACTGATATCTACTGCTAGCTAGTTTATTGTGATGGTGCCGTTTTTTTTTTGTTTTTTTTTTTGTTTTTTTTCTTTCTTCCCCCCCTTCTCACCGTCTCTTCTCCCCTTTGGTTTTCTTTCTCTCCCTCTCTTTCTTTCATTCTTTCTCCCTGTCCTATCCCCCAGTCATGTCTGTCCCGTTTGTAGCAACTGAAAATAAAATAAATTCATAATTATAATAAAGGTCAATCAAATGGACCAATATGGCAAGGCCATGATGATCCACTTGGTAAAATAAATCTGCTTGGCATCTTTCTTGGCCTTAAGACAACAATTCTGATGGCTAAAGATCCAAACGGGTCACAAAAAAAAATAAAAAAAATAAAAAAATAGCATATTTCTTAACATAATTAGAAAAACGACACTTTGTAAATAAGTGAAAGTATTGTTCCTAATCCCATCTGCTTTGAAATACTGGACTTTCAAATTTACCTCATGAAAGATAATAACTCACTGTGGCTCACAGTCATTATCTCCTTTCTCTGTGATACTGTGAATAAATGCTGCTGGTAACTCACTGTGGGAAAGCTGTGTTATTAAAATGAAAACATCTGTGTCATGTGTAACACATTCACAGAGGAAGAGGACACGCAGAGGCTGTATTAAAGTCAAAAATCCAAATCTTTAGTCAAAAACAGGCAGTGGTTACAAACAGAAAGATAAGCAATCCATTAAACAGTCTACAGGGTCAAACATACAGAGAATTCAAACAGCAGTAAAAAATAACCAGACACTGAAAAACTTAACACGGTGATGTGGGAACAAAGAGACGCAGCTGTTTACAAGCTCAGTTACAAAGGAGAAAAACTGTTAAAGGCAGCACGCAAACAGAGCAGAACACAGAAAGAAGAGAGATTACAAAATAAATATGGAAATTACTTCAAACTTACTGAGAGCAAGGGTTACCTGGACTACTTGAATATTTGATAAAGTCACTGAGTCAACAATTGAGTGTGGCTGGTAAAGATGAAAACACATACAGAATGTAAACTGTCTGAGTTTGGTGAACTTTGTTGGTGACAACGCCAAAAAACAAGACAAAACACACAAACATACTAATGATTCATAAATAATTAAAAAGCATTTAAACATTCTGTTCATGAATTTTTACAGTCTTAGTTCTGCTCATTTTCATCTTCATAATCATACTTGACACAGGGAGGTCCTGAGGTGGGCGGGGCTGTCTCTGGTGGTGTAACTATGAATGGCAAGAACAGCATCTGGCACATGCTGGTGAAACATCACAGCACACTGGCATGGTTTCCTTTCCAGCTGACACTTCAAGATTGAAGGGAACAAGAAGAAATAGTGATATGGCGTGTGTCTAGAGTGACCGCATGATGGTTACTGTAGCTCACTATACTTACCAACAGCAGAAGCAGACAGACCAAGAAAAATCAGATGCTGAATGTTGCAGGAACACACTCATCTGTGGTGATCACTGAGGCCTGCCATGTTCTTTTGTTGAAGTTGGCTGGTTGGACAGCCTGACAGCGATATCCTGCCCATCTGTGGAAGTTTGAACACACACATGCAATGGCTTGTCTGAATTATGGTCAAAGTTGGATGTTAAGTTTTGTCCTTTAAAAACTTTTGTGTATTTGAAAGTACTAGAATTTAAGGCTAAAATGGCTCAGATCGTCTGTCTCTAAGAGTATCTCATTTGAAAGTGGAGACAAGTTTATCCACTGATCCGCGTCGCTTTACCTGGATGTTTTCTTTGAAGCTGGATGAAGACTGCTCTCTCTCTCAGTCCTGTTCTAGCTTTGCAGACCAGTTCGCTCTGGGGTTACAGTCATCACCTGCAGCAGGAGACTGGAAATTCTCCATGTTCAGAAAAACACTCCTAAATTGACCAACAAATAAATATTATTAAAGATTTAAACACTTCATTAGACAGTGAAAACATCTGCATCTCATTCCACTTTCCATTCCTACTCTAAACATCAGCCGACAAAAATCACAGTAAAATGTAAAGAACACACTACGTACAACATGAGAGGCCATAAATTCTACAACTCACAACTATTTCTTTTCTAGCTGTGGATGGTTTATCTTCTGCCTCTTGTGAGAGATCAGATCTTCATTTTCTCTGCTTTGTCTAACCTCTACAGAGCCTCTGCATCTGTACGCATAGAAGATGTGGAATATACATTTGATGACACAGCACAGGACTTGTGCCCTCTGGTAGTTCTTCTGAGGAAACACCACAGTCTCTCACACCGTCACCATCTGTGAGCACAGGCTGCTGCTCTGCCAAATGTAGAAAATCACACACAGAAGTGAAGAGTATTGCTACTATTAAACATTAGAGCTTCTTTGTGATGTGTGTGAATGAGAGGGAGATAGGTACTGTATAATACTGAAGATGCAAGGATTAGTTTAAATACCTGGAGTCAACCGTAAAAGGCAATGGGCACCCGATTCGCATGTTAACAGTCCATACAATGGGCATTATTGGCAGAAATCAGCCCCATAGATATGGGCCAGTAGGGGCCTTCTACACCTAGTTTGTTCAGAAGGTTGTTATCATCCATTCAGATGGGGGATCACTAACAGGAGGATGGGAAGCCTCCCTAGATTCTGGTGGATATGGCAGTGTTTACAGGTAAGACCATTGCAATGGAGAGCATTTATAGGGACTACAATAAGTCAGCGAGTGTCAGTAATGTTAATGTGGTTACCAGGGGCCTGTTCTTCGTACGTCGCTTACTACATCCAAGATCAAACGACACATCCAAGATCAAATGACACATCCAAGATCAAATCATCGCGCTAACCGTGAGCTCGCTAATCCGGTTCCCCGAACACACCTGCTGTTGACGATTACTACAGCTGGATGAAATAATGCGCGATCACTGGGTGTCGTAAAAGGGGCTACGCATCGATAG